AATTTGTTCAACTCAATCCGATAATCTTGCATTACAATTGTCTCTAACATTTGTCCCATTCACTTTGGTGTACCATACTCTGTGCCATTCCACTTGTTTAATTGCCTAAGTTTGAGAGAGCGACGAAGCAACTATATTCACTATAGATCACTCTTTAATCGAGGTCGATTCGCATGCAGTAGGCTCCTTGTGAAGATTAGAAAAGGACATCGTTATGCTCTTTTCTGTCCAGAACTGGAATCGCTGCGGACGATCCTCATCAGCCCAATGTCGCACTCTCCCAGATCCTCCCCAAAATTAACTTATGGTCCCCAAGGGTGGCAGGAAGGACGCTGTCGGGTTGAAAAACGGTCTGCATCGGGCGTATTAAGAGCTCTGGAAAATCGGCTTACCCCATTCCGTACCCGGAGGTGGACGAGCTCTAAGAAGCACTAAGACGAGTTTGGAGACCACAGAGGTTGCACTATTCGCATAGTCGGCGTCCAACTCGTTCCAAGTTTTCTGCAGGGTTGCCCTTGGAAATCGTGGTGACGACGAGGCCCTGCTCAACCCTTGTACTCGATGACGCTCTATATTGAGCAATATATGTAGTGGATGAGGATCTTTCGAACTGGGAGGTAATCCACCAAAAGAGAGCTTGAACAAATTTGGCTTTGTGGCTTTATGGCAAACTTCTGATGGTAGCAGTACTTTTTGTAGCCGAAGTGGGCCTCAACCCAGGGTAAGATGGATTCTTTCAAAATGTTCAGATAACAAGTTGAGTTGAACATGTGTCGAATACGATTTAGTCGCGGACGATCGACCTTTTTGATAGGACTCAATGGCCACGGATGTAGCCCCCACATCGAGGTCGGTGTGAAGGGTTTGCCAGTTCTGTGAACCTTGCCATGCTTTCGAAAACACCCTTCACTCAACTGACGAATTCACTATGAATTAGAGGTGCGGCGATGACTTTAAATGTTGGGGAGAAAAATTTTCATGGTAGTTGAAGATGTCCAGAGTGAATCGGATAGAAGCGAAAATGATCACTCCAAAATCAAATTGTGGCTGACAGCTAGAGATCTCGTGCTCACGATTTGTTTCCATGATTTTGCTTGACTCCATATATGTGACCATATTTTCCGTCGGCGTAAGTGCACACGATGATAAAAGCACAGTAGAAGTGAATTCATTAAATTCCATGGACTGCGGCTGAGCACTTGCACACTAATGCTGTCTTTAATTTTCCGGCACATGTATTGGGTTAGCGGCTTGTCGTAGTGGAGTAAATACATCAAATATTTTCATCATTTTACACTTCATTGTCTTTATTCAAAGAGATCAAACAGAGGCTGGATTGCAGGAGGAGCGCTTCGTAACCAACCGATACAGTATACGGCAAAAGGGAGCGAGCGAAGAGTTCCAGCGGCCTGTAAAGTGATAGAATCAGTCGGTGACCATTTAGACAAGGAAAATGAAGACTAACTGTTTTGCAACAACCCCGTATTGCTTTACAATCGGTACCACGGGAGGTTTCCGAGAGGGAACCGCCATCGGCACGCTGAAAAGAAAGAAGAAAATCTAATAGAGTGCTATAGTTTGAACTGTATTTACTTCTTAGTTATTTCTTTCCTGTGAAAGTACATTACGGAAAAACTTTATCTGGACTACCTTGCAAAAACTTTCCCGTCCGATGAAGAGATGGCTGAGTAAAGTGTTGAACATTCGGCACGAGAAGCGAATAACAGCCTCTCGTATGGGAGTTTATGCCCTCCATTGAAAGGACACACAGGATCTCCCTCGAGTGTCACCTGAATTCCTATTAATATGAAACTCAAAGATAATCCACTGAGGAAAAAGTTGCCCAAGTAGGTAATTGAGATGTATAAAAAAACCTGAGCTTTAAAAAAGTGCAGAGGCATCGAGAGGGAGCATGGACCTCAAAACCCAATCAAATCTAGTGTTCTAAAGCTGCCTTCTAGGAACGAATATAGCCCTGACCACAATGGGAGGCTCTGCAGGAATATTTAGCTAGCTTGTTTTTGAAGGGCTTCTATCACAAAGCATGGAGTGATGCGCCAAGAAATTTCGTTTTTACCGTCAACTAAAAATAAATGATACAGGTTGTTCATCACTAAAGACCTAGTCGTTCTCAAAACTTTCCGTACATCATTGTTGCAGGTTGAACATCTTCAGCAAGGATTCCCAGCATGCAACAGAGAAAAGAATTGGACGAAATTTTTACAGTAACACCTGGATAAGGGTCATAGGGGCAATTTTTTGAATACTGCATGCCAAGTGCGCTCTTTTATGACAAGCCTTCCATGCGTTCATACAGTAGAGTTCAGTCAAATAATTCCATCCGCGTTTGGCAGGGTTCTGCTTGCCAGGATTCCTAGCATACCATAGTAGTACATGTGACCAGTACACAACTAATAGAATCTCAAACAAAATTCAAATACATTGCGCGCACTCAAGAATCCCACCTGATCACCGCACTGACAACACTTTTTTGGTATTTGTCAGTTTCGATCGTGGCATAGGAATGACACCTCTTATGGGAATGGGAGACACCACCAATTTCCACCAGTTCGATCTGGAGCTCTAGTATTACAGAAAAGATCTGGTAAAGTTAGCCCCGCAGAAAACTGCTAATCTAA